CAGGCTAACAGAGAGCACTTACTGGGCCTGTCAGCACAGCTGCTGAGCAATCCTGGCTGGCAACTTCAGATGTTTGGGAAAACAAACTCCAGGGGAATTAGCTCCCAAGTATTTCCTCAATTCTGCTCGCTATGAAGAGAATTTTATTTTGCTGTCCCTGGAGGAAGGAAGGCAACGTGGCCAGGTGCATAAAGGAAACCTGTGGAAGAATGGTGGGAATCTGGCCAGCAATACTCCCACTCCTCCCAACTCCTGGCACGGGGAGCGGGGAAGCACACATGTCCCCATGGATGTGCTGTGGTCCTTTGCAAAGGAACCACATCCAGCAGATCTCCATCTCCTCCAGTTGGGCAGCACAATGGGTTCAGCCTGCAGAGCAGCCCTGGAGCACAAGGGCTGGTTTGGGCATCCACTGTCCACTCAGCCATCATCATGGGTAAAGCCAGGGCTCCCATCTGCTTTTTCGATCCCTGTGCCTAATTTGAGCTCCTGTTTTACAGGGACATAACACTGAGAGAGGCTCTGGGAGCCCAGGTCATGTACTTCCCAGCACTGTAGGTAACTTTGCTTGCAGAAATAACATGACTAAATATAGCTCTCCTGCTCCTGAGAGCTGAACCAGGAGCAGGCACAGGGGCAGCCCCTGAAGCTGTGCCCTGAAGGGGTGCCATGTTGGAATTTATAAAGTTAGAGGGTTTTTAGGAAATGGTTAAAAAAGTATAGGTTTTAGATTGAAGTTTTGTTAGTATTGTAAATACAGCAGAAAAGTTTTTTAAGTAGTAGAGTATACGTGACAAATAACAATAGGCTTCTGTAGAATTGGTTTATGGATGGTAACAAGGTTATTTAATGTATATTTTTAGAAGGTTAGTATAAATAGAGTTTTGTTTCTTGTTTTTTATGAATTAGTTTTCGTTTTACTTACTATTACGTGTGTTTTATATGATTAGATAGATTTTTTGTCAATATGTGTTGTTTTATGTATGATTGGTTGAAATTTAAGTTGAGATAGTTTTATGTTATGCTGTAATGTTCTACGTCTTTAGCATTTTCTGTGGATCAGCGAGCTGTTAACATCCTGTCTCCATTGTCTAACAATGTCCTGAAACTGATGTGCTGAAAATAAAAAAAGCTCTTCACTGGTCTGGTTTGTCCAGTGTTGTCCATATCTGGACGTAGCTGCTGCAGCCCACGGTTTCCTTAGTAATGCCTAAGTTCCTGACACAATTAGACATATATTTTCCCATATATACACCCCCCACATTTTGGTGAATTGCGCAATCCATAAAGTTAGAGGGTTTTTGGGAAATGGTTAAAAAAGTATAGGCCTCAGACTGAAGTTTTGTTAGCATTGCAAATACAGCAGAAAAGTTTCCCAAGCAGTAGAGCATACGTGACAAATAACAATAGACCTCTGTAGAATTGGCTTATGGATGGCAACTAGGTTATTTAATGTATATCTTTAGAAGGTTAGCATGAATAGAGCTCTGTTCTTTGTCTCTTATGAACCAGTCTTTGTTTTACCTACCATCACGTGTGTTTCATATGATTAGATAGAATTCTTGTCAATATGTGTTGTTCTGTGTATGATTGGCTGAATTCTAAGCTGAGATGGTTTTATGCTATGCTGTAATGTCACACCCCCTTGGCCTTCCCTGTGCATCAGCGAGCTGTTAACATCCTGTCTCCATTGTCTAACAATGTCCTGAAACTGATGTGCTGAAAATAAAAAAGCTCTTCACTAGTCTAGTTTGTCCAATATTGTCCATATCTAAACGTAATTACCGCAACCCATAATTTCCTTAATAATGCATAAATTCCTAACACAATTAAACACATATTTTCCCATATATACACCCCCCACATGCCACACCTGCAATAGCAAGGACTGTGCTCCACCCCTATCAGGGCACTTAGTTTCTAGCCTAATACAGGGCAAGAGCAAGTTTTTCCTCCCAATCCAACCTTCCACTCTTACCTGCATTTCCACAGCATCGGATCAGAGGAACAAGTCCCACAGGAGATCCTGGAACAAGGACAGGGCTGACACCCAGCTCCAGAGAGGGCATGGAGGTCACCAGTAGAGAACAACCAGGATTTACTACTGAAGTGTTCCCAGCCAGCCACATCCAAGCAGCAGGAAATTATTTAAACACTTTTTTCCTTAGAAGCAAGGTTGGCTTCCTGCCCTAGCTAAGTGAGCCTCTTCCAGTGGCCCTGGCTACAGGAACACCCATGTCAGCTGTGGACACAGCCCAGACAGGACCCCCAATGACCACAAGAGGCAGGGACCCGCAGAATAGGGCTGAGCACATTCTGCATTTCACAGAACAGATGCTCTTCCCAACCGGCATCACCAATGTTTGGTATGGCAGAAGAGCCCAGGCCCTCCTGCAGCTCTGTCTGAATCCCACCAGAGACCACCCACACACAGAGGGGACCTTGTCTGCAGATACAAAAACTTGGATAACAGGGCAAGTTTCCCAGGGGTTGGTTATTGTGATGTGAGCCCATCTCTCTGGGGGTCCACCAGACACCCCATCTGTAAAAATACAATTACCTGGCTTTGCAATACCACAGCTCAGTAACTGTACATCCTCTTTTGCAAAATACTCCCCTGGCTTAATAATCTACAGTCTTTAAAGAAACCCCAACAATTCAGGGTGCTTTATGAGATATTTAGACCAAAAAAAGCAAAATGGGCCTTGCAGACAAGGGAGAGCAAGGAGAGCAGTTGCAATGCAGGGCTTGAAGCTGCCACAGACTCAGAGACCCCAGAACAACTCCCTCAAGACCACCTTCATTTAACCCCTCATTTAGTTTCAGGCCCATTGTCGTGGTTTGACCGGAAATGGGACATCTGGGATATTTTGTTTTGCTGTGATTACCAATGGGTAATTGGAATTTAAGATGGGCACTTAGTTTGACCAGTGGGACATTTGGATCCGCCTCTTGAGACTACGAACTCAAGGGGTTAAAAGCAGGGCTCTTGGCCTTCGGAGCCCTCTTGGGATTTCCGGCGTGAAGAAGTCTCTCCCCCGGCCCAGTTTCTGGCTGGGCTGGGGGAGGGGAGAGCCACGTGGGCCATCTACGGTAGGCCCGGGTTCGGAGGAAGGGTGGCAGACCCTTGAGCGACCAGTTTATTCCCCCCCCCCCCAGAGAATGCAGCCCGTGCTCGAACTGTATATCTTGAAACTTGATATCATGTGCCGGCAGGCAGCACGGCTGGGAGGAGAAAGGGGGGGGGGGCAGCGGGCAGTCCGGCCGCCTGGGAGACCTTTTAACCCTTTGGGGAATGAAGGCTTCGCAGAACATTGCCTTTCCTGGGAAAGGGACAGGAGTGGAAGATGAAGGAAGAAAATTAGGCCAGTAAGGAGGGTCTGGCAAAGGGAGAAGAGAGATGTTGAAGGAATGGAGGAAGATGGAGTGGCAGTTTTTGCTGGACTCTTTTTTGTTGTATTTCCATGGACTGTTTCCTGGTGAGGCAGAGGCTGTATTGCAGGGGGAAGCGGAGGCTCGGCGTCAAGAGAGTTTGGTTTTGAGACCCCTCGGCCCCAGGGGGTATAGAAGACATGGGGGGGACAGAGGTCCCAGGATTGTGACTGTACTCTGCTTGGAACGAGACGAGGCATTCTTAAAAGGCCCTGAAGGCAGGCCCCTGCCCCATCCCATGCCAGGTGGTGAGAGCACCTCGGCATGGAAAGGAGATGTCACGAGGTAGCAAGATACCGGGCGGATTGCTGATTGTGACAAGAAGTCCGTGGCACAAGGAAGGACTCCGTCTATCCCTTATGAGCTGAAGATTTGATTTTTTTTTCCAAAGGGTGGTGCCAGACCGAGTGTGGATAATTTTTTGGGAAATGTAAATGTGTTTGGGAATTTGGTGGGAGGAGGATAAGGAAGTGTTTCTGTGTAGTTCTCATTCTCCTTGTTTTTTTCCCTGTGTGTGTGTAGGTTAGTAATTGTGTGTGTAGTTTAGTAATTGTGTGTGTAGTTTAGTTAATAAACTTCTCTTTATGTTTAAGTTGGAGCCTGCTTTGCTTATTTCCTGGCCACATCTCACAGCAGATATCAGGTAAAAGGTATATTTATGGGGGCCTTGGCTTTGCCAGGCCTAAACCATAACACCCATACAGGTGGGGTTCCACTCAGCTTGGAAGGAAACAGCAAGAGGATCTGCACACTATTCAGACTTTTAAGTGCACGTCCCTCCCCCTCACAATCAAGGCAGTTCTTGAGGCTTTTTATAGGTTTCTAAAACTAGAGTGCATGAGGGCACTATGCTGTTGCCATCCTACTGCTGAGCAAAGCCTCCTCTTCCAGCTGGAAGGGGGCATCTCACCCTCTCAGTATGTGTCCAGCTTCCACAGGGTGCTCGAGCAGCAAGTGTAGAGTCAGGCCCTACCACAGCCCCACTCACCCTATCCTCAAAGCTGACCCTAAATCTATGCGATCTGGCGCACAGAAATCTCACTTCTAAGAAAGAAGTTCAACATTTGATAGGTAAATTGTAAAAAAACAAGTTTATTTGAAAAAACTCAAGCCTCTTAACATGAATTCTGATCAACATTACTAGAACTTGAGAGCCATTAACCTGCTCCACGTACGTTGAGATATTTTCCAACACTAAAAGATAAAAAATAAATACGTACAAATTCTTTCCTCCCCCTAACATGTCCTAGATGTGAGAGGTTCAGCATCCACCGCCTTAAGATCTCAGTTGAACAGAAGCAAGTAAAAGAGGTTTCTCTAACAGATAAAAGAGCAAAAGCAGAAAAAGTCTCAGGGATGTACCACCTCCACTCACCTCACCACTCTGCCCAAGGTCAGGCACCCAAAACACCTGGCTGGATGGGATGCTCTGGTGGAAGCCCACCCCATGGGCAGGATGGGCCAGCACAGCCAACAGCAGATTGAGGCAGAGTGGGGAGGCAGGGGGGACTCCAACAGTCCCCAAGGAAGGCTTGGGCAAGCCCTGGAGTGGCTTGCCCAACAAGAACCCCAGCCATCTTTCTTCAACCTGAATAACCCATGAGAGAACAGCTACAAGAAGAGGGATTTTAAAGAACTACAATAGCTAAAGTGTTTTCAAAACAAATACCTAAAGACCACCTAAAGAGCTGGGAGACCCTGGGCATGAGGGTTAAGGAGCACCTTGCCCCATGCCTGCATCTCCCCTGCAGAGGACCTGCGGTAAGAAGTGTATGAAGCAGTATTCATTCAGGGCCGGCCCTGAAGCCCATTGTGCTTCAACAAATCCAGTATCCTGCTTTTTATGGCTTTTTAACAAGAAAACTCCCCAAAACACACACATATCCCCCCGCCCCCCAACCCAAGCAGAATACAGAGCTAAAGCACAGTTTAGAGTTAAGGCTCGTTCAGATTCAGCTAGATATGGAGACTGTAAGGCACATATTAGTACATTCATGTTACTGTTAAAAAGCCAGACTATAAAAGCCCCCTGCCCCTGGACACACGAGGATACTGCATGTGTAGTCCTGTTACCTTTAACACAGATGGAAAGACAACTCAGAGCCTGTTTAAAAATGAACACCCGGTTTAAACACTTCTTACAGCCCCCCAGCGCCAGCGGAGCTCTGCCCTGGCTGCCACACCAGGGCAGCAGCACTTCCCCGACACTCTGGGATTAAGACTGGTCCCTCACATGCGGCTCTCCTGCTCTTTGACACCACCCCCCACATTCTTCTGAGGTGAGGAGGCTGCATCAGTTTTTTCCTCTTTCTTCTTCCCAGCCTCATCAATGTTGGTCTCGTCCTCCTTCCCTTCCTTCTTCGCTTTCTCCTCCTTGGCCACCAGGCGATAGTTGATGCCCATCCCAATGAAGAGGTAGGTCCCGGCAATGATCAGGACAATCCCACAGGCCCAGTATGTGTACTTGTAGTCACCATACATGTCATTGAGTTTCCCTAAAAGACAAGAGTATACAGTTCAGCAAGAAGCCCCCAAAGCAGCTCCAGGTCATGGAGATATTCCCAAGAGCAGCCCAAGCCCATCACCCTCACATTCAGACAAGGACCTGTCCCACATTCCTTTACTCCCCGCTCCCCTACCCTGTGCCACGGGTTCAGATCCCACTTCCTTGGCCATTCCTCAGTGGTCTACAGACTACTGCCCCAGTGCCATGGGCTGCCCATGGCTCAAGGGAACCCACCACCACTAAGCAAGACCAGGCAGGACAGCCAGAGTCAAAGAACCATAGAATCATTAAGGTTGGGAAAGACCTTTAAGATCAAAGTTCAATCACCAACCCAGCACCACTCCACTAAAACCATGCCCTCAAGTGAGTTCTCCAGGCACAGCACATCCTACCTAGCACAGGGGGTCCCAGAAGAACAGGGCAGCACTCCACGATGGTCACCAGGCCAACAGCACTAGAGAACCGCTGAGCTCCCACCAGGTCCATCAGGGTCTCAAAGAGAACCGAGCTCAGCCAGCCAAAGGCATAGCCAAAGAAGCCAGCATAAATGCAGAAGCCAGTATAGGTGGGGGACATGGGGAGCAAGATGTGGCAAACACCATTGTAAATAATAGCGATGGCAAAGAAATATTGGATGCGGGGTCTGACCCACTTGGTGTTTGCCACCAGTCCCATGGAAGGTCTGGCAAACATGTCCACAAAGGCCAGTATGGAGAGCAGGAAGGCTGCCGAGTCACTAGGAATCTTCTTGCTCTTTGCATAATTGCTGAGGAAGACCAAGGGAGCAAACACCCCGAAGAACATTATTACATTGCCTGACAGATAGAGCAGGAAGCCCCTGTGTTTGAATAGAGTCAGGTCCAAGAATCTGTTGATTGTCTGGAAGACTGAGCCCTTCTCTTGCTTGGCCTTTCCATCAGTGAGGTCCGTGCTGGTGTCACCATCATCCTTTTTCCCCGCTTTCCCAGCCTCCTGCTGTGCTTCCTTATTGGTCTCTTTCTTCTGAACTGGCTTGGGACCTATGGGCCGCATCAGGGATCCAGCCACGCAGCAGTTCAGCAGGAGGCTACCCAGGATGAGGAAGCTGCCACGCCAGCCAAATATGCCAAAGAAGAACTGGTTGAGGGGTGCCAGGGTAGAGAGGAAGACAGGGCTGCCTGCCATTGCCAGCCCATTGGCCAGTGGACGCCTCTTAAAGAAGTACTTGCCAATCATGGTTAAGGCAGGGTTCAGGTTGAAGGCAAGTCCAAGACCTGCAGGAGAGAGATAAGGGGCTCAAGCCTTGGATGCCTCCAGCAGCACTGGCAGAAGGGCTAGTAGGACAGTGGGGTTTTACTTCTGGGGAGTTCACAGCTCCATTTCCAACTTAGAATCATGGAATCATTTAGGTTAGAAAAGTCCTCTAAGAAAATGGAGTCCAACCATCCCCCCAGCTCTGTCAGGTCCCCATTAACCCATGCCCCAAGTGTGACATCCACATGCTTTTTGAACACTTCCAGGGATGGTGATTCCACCAGTGCCCCAGACAGTCCATTCCAACAACTGACTCACCCACTTCCCAGCTGGCATAAGCAGGAGTCAGCCCCTGCTGCCAGCTAAAGAGGCACCCAGGCAGTGACAAGAACCAGAACTCATGCAAATTCAGACATCAACTAATAATTACTGGGTTGAAGTTGCTCCTTTCACTGCCCCACTAGGGCAGAGCTATCACTTACCCCCTATGACCCCAATACAGAAGTAGAGCCCCTCCACCGAGTTGCAGAAGGAGGCTGCGATCAGCCCACAGCCGGAAAGGCAGCCGCCTACTAATATGATGGGCCGGCTGCCGTACTTGTTCACCAGGATGCTGCTGACGGGACCTGGGCAAACAAAAGAGATGCACCAGAGAGGAGTTATCTTTGCATGAGAGACCAAATACACACACAAGCACACTGCATCTTTACTGCCAGATGATTCCAGCTTTCACACAGCATTGTTTCTCCCAGGAAGGGAACTGGGGTAAGGGGAAAGGACAGAAGGTTCAGAGGCAGCTGGAGACAAGAGAATCACAAAATGGTTTGGGTTGGAAGGGACCTTAAAGATCATCTTGTTCCAGCTCCTTGCCATGGGCAGGGACATTTCCTACTAGAACAGGTTGCTGCAATCCAACCCACTCTTGGCCATTTCCAGGGATGGAGAAGACACAGCTTTTCTAGGCTTCTATGTGCCAGGGCCTCATCATCCTCATGGAAGAATTTCTTCCTAAATATCTAATCTAAATCAACCATAAGAGGGAGAAAAATGTTGAAGCACAGAAAGCTTTGACTTCTCTGAGCAAGTTGCCTTCTGTGGGCTGAAAGAGGAGCTGCCCGGCCACCACCTGCCCCCAGAGACAGGGCTCTGGGACAGGCCGAAGCCACCTGCCTCGTGCTGCACTGGGGGCTCTGCCCTACTTGCAGCCACCCACTCACCATGAGCTGGGGTCTCAGCCACAACCCAACTGCACATCTCCTGACAGAGGTTTCTGGTCAAGACCAGATGAAGCTGTGAGGAAACACCTTCTCTGGGTGCAAGTGGAGCTCCTCAGGGCTTGGGGAGAAGCAGCAGTGCCCCAGGAGAAGGGGTGCTTCTGTTTTCACTGCTATCCCTAATGCAGACAGGGGCCAATTGCCCTTTTAAGTGCTTCAGTCTCGGGCGCTTTAATCCAAAGCAAACAGTGATTAGAGACTGCCAAGCATGCTCTACAGACACTAAAATGTATTTAAATACACTGAATGAACATCCATTGAATATTAACAGACCTTGCTCTGCCATTAACAGACAGAGAGGTTGTCAACATGTTATTCATGGGTCCTTGGATGGTACTTGACCTTTTTGCCCAGTTTAAACAAAGTCTGGAGCAGGTTACAGAAGCCTTGGTGCTGCAGAGTCTGCTCCCAGCCTCGCAGCATTCTGCTCTCTGCTACCAGAAGCTCCAGTGCAATGCCACCAGGGATGGGCCATGGCTCTGGGTCCTGTGAGAGGGAGCAGCAGCAGCACCTGGGAGCTGCCACATCACAAGGTGCACAGAGCACTCAGCACTTTGCAAAACCTGAACCTTGAACTCAGCAAATGTGATGCCCCTGAAGAGTCTAAATGCAGCCACAGCCTTTCTTCCGGGAAGTTCCCCTGAAAATAGCAGGCTCCAAAGGGCAATCAGCAGGAAGCCACGCAGCTGGGCAGTGCCAGGTACTCTAGGGGCAATTCTCCTCATCCCCCCCCCTTTTCTAAAGGAAAACAACACCCATACCTGTTTTCTAGATTCACTGGAAGTGTTTTTGACTAAACGTTACCTGATCTAACTTGATTGCTCAAGCTGCCAAAAACACGTAAATAATGGAATCTAATCCCAACATGGGGCTGACAAAGGAGCATTTGACACCATGACATCCATGCATCCTGATGGTGACTGCACAGGGCAGCTGGAGGGAAATGTGCTGCTTCCTCACACCTAGCCCTACCCAGGACAGAAGCTGCCCCAGCTCTGTGAGATTCTACTACTCCAGAGGATGAACTACTTTTTCAGCCTCCAAGCAGGCAGGTATCCTAGGAGACAGGGAAAATGGGATGCACACTGGGACTGCTCCAGTGCAATTCAGACTCTGTAAAGGGTCTGGTTTCAGGCAGGAATGAATGGGGCAGCAGCAATTCCAGTGCTTCAGCAGCTGGAGGATGAATAAAAAGTTCTGAGATGGAAGCGATCCTCTAGAATCGAGTCCAACTCCTGGCTCTTCAAAGGACAACCCCAACAATCCCACCTTCTGCTTGAGAGTATTGTCCAAAATGCTCCTGGAACTCTGGCAGCCTTGGGGCTGTGGCCACTGTTCTGGGAAGCCTGTTCAGTACTTGACCACCTTCTAGGGAAAAATGCACCCAGGTAGATCTGGGGTACTTTCAGCATCCCACCACCATATGGCTAAGCAGACCAAGACCAGCAGCTGCTGGATTTTAATGGCTACAGCTCAGTGAAAGCAGGAGGGACAGAATCATCATGGAGGGAGGGGGACATGGGGACAACTACTACTCCAGTACTGGAGGAGGGAGCTCTTACCCCTGCTGCCAGGCAGCTCCAGACAGTGCCCCCAGAAGAACCAGCTCTGAGCTATTGGGAGAGGAGGAATGGCCCAGATTTGGTCTCATTAAGGCAGTTACAGGGTTTACAAGCTTGCTACACATTGGAGCAGGGAAATGTGCTGGTCGCTTCGCTAGCTGAGCGAGGGCAAAGCAGAGCCTGCAAAGGAAAAGCCTGGTGCTCAGCCGGGAGCTGACGTCAGCTCCTTTGGATGCACAAATCCAACAAGGCTGCAGGCAACCTGCCAGCTGGGGACTGGCAGCAGGGACAAGCTCCCATTTGCCTCTGAAGTGGCCACAACAGCAGGCTCACAGTGTTTCTTTCAGCCCAGCACAAGACTGTGTTTGCAGGCACATGCAAGACCCCAGACTCTGGAGACCAGGAGCACTGCATGCTGTTCACCCACTAAAAACATGCATGAAGTACCCAGCTAGAGAGTTAAAGGTCTTCAAAAGGCAGCTTCTGAAGGACAGGGGAGGGAGTGGAGCTGTTTTAGTTTATGTGGGTTTGCCTTATTCTGCTCATGTCTCTGCACTTCCAGTGCACACTACCATTCCCAAACAGCACAAGCTGCCTACAGCACTGCTTGGCACCAGCAAGCAGTAACATGTGGCACGAGGCTTCAGTGCACTCCAAGCACAACTGTGCTGACAAGAAACTGAGGACAGATGCCTACATACACCCACTATTCCCTGAATTGGAAAAAAAAAAAACCAAACCAAAATCAATGTCTTATCTGAAAGTGCCCCTAAGAGCAGAGTTGCCACATTGCCACATGTAGCAGAGCAGCTCCCTGGCCTTCAGGAGGATGCTGGGAGTAGACACAGCATCTGCAACTCACTGTAACAAGGACAAGGGCAGAATTACACAAGTCATAATTCTCCAGAAAGATTTTACAGCTTTGCAGAGGACAGATTAACCCGGTTTTTGCATTCTGGGCATTAAATGGAACTTTCTGAGCAGCCTCCTTTAAGAAAACTCATTAAGGGAGGTTTTGCTCTCAGATAAGGAGAGAATTCAAAGTGTTAGCAAAATTTTGGTTGTTGTCACCACAGCCAGGTGGGAATCACCAGTCCCAGCAGGAGAGTAGCATCTTGTGCTGTGATGCAGGAGCACAAGTACCACTGCCTCCACCCCACTTACCTCCTGCATACATAACAGCCAGCATGATGGAGGAGATCCAGGACACTTTGCTGCTGGAGGCATTGAAGATGACCTCAATTTCTTTGAAGAACACTGTGATAGATTTGGGGAAGGCATAGGAAAAACCAATGGAAATGAAGGCTCCGACGACCACAGCCCATCCCCATCCTCCTTCAGGAGGAGTGTATCCTGCAGGGCCTCCGACGGGGGGCATCTTGAATCAAGTCGGCGATGACTCAGTTGGGGATCAAGGATCTGCAAAGGACAAAGCATTACCTCAGCTGAAAGCACAATCTCTGCTCCTGGCACACAACTGCACGGCTCAAGCTCTGTTTGCAAGGCTGGCATAGCACCAGTGCCCCCACCATCATGGGGAAAGTTGATCCGTGAGGTGAGAGCAGCCCAGGATCACCAGCACAGTGGGCCACTCCAAAACACACGCTCAGATTGCAGCTGGCTTTAAGAGCCCAGTCAGCAGTCAGCACACATTTTTAAGTGACAAATTTAAGACGTGACACCCTGACCTAAGCTGGAAAGGACAGGCAGTGTCTGTGACAGCAGCCAGGACTTATCTGCACAGGCAGAGCTCCCAAAGCATCTGGGTTGCTGGAGTGCAACCCCAGCACTGCAAAATCCCAGGAAGCCCTAGAGCTGGAGCTGCACACCAAGGATATTAAATGCAGAAATACTGAGGGGAAGTAAGTCCCCATGCATGAGCTGAACAGGACACCCCTATTTCTGCTGAAAAAGGGCAGTTGGGTGTCACAGCACACCCACCACCCCCAAAGGTCAGTGGCTATGGCTAAACTTAGCCTGAGTGGTGACCAAGGAAGGCTCCCATATGCCACCAGAGAAGGCAGAGGTGGATCCACACAGAGAAGTCCCAGCAGAGCCTGGTTCCCCTGCAGGGCACTTCTGGACCCAACCGCATCCAAACTCTCCTCCTTGATCAAAAAGGCTAAGACAGGTTTCACAAAGCACCCAAGTATAAAAACAATTCACTTAAAAATTTCAAAACTAGAAGTGGCTAGAAAACAAAAGGCAGATGGAAGCCAATCCCATTCTGCAATCCCATTCTGCACAGAGCCCCCTGTGCTCCCCTCTCTGCCCTGCCAGTAAACCTGACTGAGGCACTTCTGTGCATCTCTGCCCCTCTGAGCTGGGGCAGAGGGTTGTTTCTCATTGCAGGGTGCTGTGCATGCCATCGCTGTTGAAATGAAAACTTTATGGAGAGGAGCAGCTCTCCCTGTTAAAAACACAAATGTGAAATAGAGCCTTACCTTCTAGCAATGCCGGCCAGCAGTTCTGCAGTGCAAAATGGTGAATTTTTTTGTTCTTTTGGGTATAGTATTGAGAATATTGAAAATCTTGCTGAACTGCAAAAGAATTGTCTCATTTTAGCAACATACATATTCACTGTCATCTACTTAGCAAAAAATGCATGCTTACCTTATATCTCATCATGTGCATATGACTCAGTAATGGTATAATTTATATAGCAGTAAGAACCATATAATTACTTCCCATCTAAGTATTAATTGTAATTGTGTCAATCTTTGGAGTGTAGAAATGATGATTACAGTTGAAAATTATTTAGTATTTACAGAAAATCCAAGTGCAATTTCAATAATTTGGACGCTGCTTCCTTTTAAACACCATTATATATTTACTGTACTGAGCTTTACATATCCTTTAGTGGGGATAGAAAACGAAGTCCATTTTCTCTGTGTAAAAAACTTTTTTTTTTTTTGTATGTTAGTGAAAATGCCTCTAAAAAATTTCCTGGAGATGAGCCTGTGATAACTCTGCTCCCCTGCCACAGCTCCTTGGCTCCTATCCCTGGTCCCAGATGGAGCCCAGGCTTGTGGGTGCTCCAAGGGCTGGCTGGAGCTCCATCCCTGCTGTTGATGTGCTGGCAGCCAGTTCTGCTTCCTGCCAGCACCCAGGCTCACCCTGGGGTTTGCCATTAGACACAGAACTTAAAAATTACTTTAAAATGTAGAGTGCGTTTCCTGCAGTAACACATTTCAAAACAACACAGCAAAGAAGTTTTCCAGGGGAAAGTCCCAAGGAAAGCGCAGGGTTGAGCTCTCCTTGCTCTCATGTGGGTTGTGTGTTCTAGGCCAGACACAGAAGCTTTCAGACACGGAATGGGACTATTTTAGAAGAGGAATGGGACTATTTCAGATGAGGAATGGGACTATATCAGATGAGGAAAAGGACTTTCCAGGCAGAAGTGAACAACAAGATCCCAACTCTGTTTCATTTCAGGCGATAGACAGAAACCTCTCCTTGGCCGCCTGCTGTTGGATGTCGGGACTGGCCCCTAGTGTGAATCTTGCAGCATGTTTTTTGCTTTCCACACAAAGGAATGGGGGAAGCAGATGCTCCTGTCCCACCCATGGATCGTGCCCAGCTCAGGATGAGCAGACCGAGGCTGGGGGATGCGCTGTCCCTCAAACCCAGCCCCAGCCCCGGGAGCTGGGCCCAGCGGGCGCCTGGGGCTCGGCCAGCGGCTCCGGGAGGGGAAAAGCGGCAAGGGGTGCCCATGAGGGGCTGGGTGCCCGCTACCCTGCCCGCCCCAGAGCCAGTGCCCGTTCTGGGAGGCCCTCGGTGCCACACTCGGTCCCCTCTGGCCGGGCTGGTGCAGGGGAGGCTCCGGCGAGTGCAGCCCCGGCCGACCCCGCTGTGCCCCGGCCCCGCGGTGCCCCGGCCCCGCTGTGCCCCGGCCCCGCCGTGCCTGAGCTGAGCTCCCACCGCCCCGGCCCTGCTGTGGCCCGGCCCTGCCGTGCCTGAGCTGAGCTCCAACTGCCCCGGCCCTGCCGTGCCTGAGCTGAGCTCCAACTGCCCCGGCCCTCCCGTGCCTGAGCTGAGTTCCAACTGCCCCAGCCCTCCCGTGCCTGAGCTGAGCTCCAACTGCCCCGGCCCTGCCGTGCCTGAGCTGAGCTCCAACTGCCCCGGCCCTCCCGTGCCTGAGCTGAGTTCCAACTGCTCCGGCCCTCCCGTGCCTGAGATGAGCTCCAACTGCCCCGGCCCCGCCGTGCCTGAGCTGAGCTCCAACTGCCCCGGCCCCGCCGTGCCTGAGCTGAGCTCCCACTGCCCCGGCCCCGCTGTGGCCCCGGCCCTGCCGTGCCTGAGCTGAGCTCCCACTGCCCTGGCCCCGCTGTGGCCCCGGCCCTGCCGTGCCTGAGCTGAGCCCCCACTGCCCCGGCCCTGCCGTGCCTGAGCTGAGCTCCAACTGCTCCGGCCCTCCTGTGCCTGAGCTGAGCTCCAACTGCCCCGGCCCCGCCGTGCCTGAGGATGAGCTCCAACTGCCCCGGCCCTGCCGTGCCTGAGCTGAGCTCCCACTGCCCCGGCCCTGCTGTGGCCCGGCCCCGCTGTGGCCCGGCCCCGCCGTGGCCCGGCCCCGCCGTGCCTGAGCTGAGCTCCCACTGCTCCGGCCCCGCCGTGCCTGAGCTGAGCTCCCACTGGCCTGGCACACCGCCGGGGACCCGCGCACTGCCAGCCCAGTGTCCTGGCCTCACTCGTTGGGTTCCTTTTCCTGGTCCCTTCTCTAAAGCTGGGAACGCTCCGAGGCTCCTGAGGCTCTGTTACTGAGCCCAGCCCGGTGTCTCTGTTTGCACGGCGCTCACACCGCTCCCAGAGCTCACCCGGGAACACTCACAGAGTGCTCTTCACGGGTAAAGAGCCGGGACTGTGCTTGGAAATGCAGCCGTGTGCGGAGCCGGCCTGCAGCACCCTCTGGGGTCGCTGTGCCTGCCCCTGGCTGCAACGAGGCCGGCAAGGACGCGCAGCTCCCGCCTGCCCAGCCGTGCTGCACCTGGGGACCCAGCGCCATTCTCCTCCACCCGTGGTGCATGGTGGCTTTTGAGGAAAACTTGCAACAGGTTTGCAATGGCCTGGAAAGCCTGGTACCAAAGGAATAATGTGAATATTAAATTTTTTTTTCTTTTGTTTCTAGTGGTACTGATAAAAATCTTTTTTTTTAGCCAGTGCTTTGCCTACTGAAACACACAGACAAAGAGTTATTTAAAAATGCTTTGTTGTCAATACACCGAATGAGCTGTACTAGTGACACCTGCAATGACAACAAAAGGCTCTTCTTTTTCCATCTGTTCTAAAACATGCAAAGTATCACAAAATCAACAAGTAGGCTTGACTGGATAACATTTATCTTCATTATGAGTGGCTAATTTCAATGGGTTCTGCAATGCTTCAGAAAGGTCAGATGCACTGCTTGTCTCGGCTGCTCTTTTATGCTGTGTGATGCCATGGAACACTTTGAAGCACAAACGGGGAAATTTACGTAAACTTGCAAAATTCACCGTAAAAAAAAAAAATCCCATTGGGATTCACAGGGGTGCCATTACATCCCTGTTTAAAGATATAAAATCGGTAAAACTTCCAGAGGCTTTATTCTTCTGTTGGTCTGAGTTCTTCAGAAGAGGCGCAGGAAAGCGGCGCTGTCACTGCGGTGCTGGGGCCCGATGGGCAGCGGGGTGTTCGGTGTCAGCGGAGGGTGTTCGGTGTCCCCTCGGACACACGCTGTGCCCACACGCTGTGCCCACACGCTGTGCTCACACGCCGCTGTCCCGCTCCCCACACCGGGAGATGACGGCCAGGGCCGGGCCGGGCTCCCGCAGCCTCCCTGCGGCACGGGCTGCCCCCTCCTCCTGCCTGCTACAGATGTTTCCAGGTGTTTCAATTCTTTGGCAAGGGTCCGTCAGGGAATATGGAGGGGGATCATCTGTGGGAATATATATCTGTGTTGCTCCTGGCCCCACACATTCGTCGTAGCTGAAAGAAAAAAAGAAATATTCATGAAATTCCTGGGGAAAAATGCTACAGTACATTACTTCAGCATAACAGAGGCAAGTAAAGTGAGAAGAAAATGAGTGTCTGGTGTTTTCCTCAGCCCACATCCTTGCTGACCCTGCCATGTCAGACACTCAAGAGTATAGCACTTAAAACCACCCAGAGGTGCAGTCACCAGAAGTGCAGGGCAGCCAGGGCTCACTCCCGCTCTCACCTGCCTGTGAGAGCCAGGCTAGAAAAGCCCGGGGGCAGAGGAGGTGGTGCTGCTGTTTCAGCGGTGAAATGAGGCACGGAGATGATGCAGTGTGCAGCAGACATCGCTGTGCTGCCCTGGCTGCAGTCCCTGGAGCTCAGCCCGCAGCCCTGGCAGGGAGCTGAGCGCTGCCAGGGCAGAGCTGCATCACTGCCCACGCTGGGGCTGCTCGCTCCGGGGTGGCACAGTGCCCCTTGTGCCCCTTCCAGAGAGCAGGGACAGGCCAGGTGCTTGGGGGGTTCCATGGGGTGCACCAGGCTCTGTGGTTCTGTC